TCACGAACGAGGCGGTTTCGAAAAAGTATTTTCTCTAGAAAAGCCGCGCGAGAAACGGAAACGCATTTGTACGACGTGTAACTGTAGCGGACACGATATTCGTATATTCGTGTCCAAAACTTTAGTAATACGGATCGATAATATTGTGTTATTCTGCAGTTCGGGAATCGGAAAATGCCATTTTTTTTTTTTTATGTTCGTCTTTCCCTTATGTATAGCGATTGCATCATACTAATTAGCGAGTGCACGGGACATGTAATTATTCAGTTTCGAGCATATTGTGTGATTGCAACGAACGTCACGACGACTTTAAATCGCAAAACAAATTATCGTACCACCGGTATACATATTATGTAACAGGCTMAATAAATATTACGTCGTGTTGTATAATAATATTATTAAAATTATGTAAATCGATATATTTATATGAACAAAGTTAACGAATCAAATTAGTATATAGATACCCACGCGATTCTATAGTGCTAWACCTAACATGGTAATATATTTATGGCAACCGTCGAGACAATATTAATAAAATAATTTTAAAGCTATGAAATTTATACGACGAGACAAATTTAATTTTTAATTTTCAATTTTTTCTTCATATTGCAGCTGATGTAATATTATTAGGTAAATATACGCGTTGACGCAGTTAAACACRCATAGAAAATAAACCGCGGTGCCAATTTAGTTRTTGACTTTCGCGGCTGACCACCGTTACCGCATTTACGATATTGGTTTAAAACCTACGTGTATTAGAAAATTTGTATGATACAAAAACAAGAGTTTATATGATTTCGGTTCTTGAGCAGTATAAGTATAGTGTACCACGCGGCACGCATATTCATTATTATGTCCAGGGTTGAACGAGTGTTCGAAAATCCTAAAAGTCAGAGGTATTCATACATTTTCATTATTGCACGGCTTTTTTGTGAGTTYGTAATATTTTGACGGCTCCCTAATTATTATGAAAAAATCGGAACGATACAAATATAATAGGATCAATACGATAGTGACTTAGGTATTGGAAATAAAACTTMAAATGGTCGCGTACACTGAACAGTCGTTGCCAGATAAATAGTGCCGACGGCGGCCGCGCTTTTCGGTAGGTGTATAATACCATTAATACCAAACTAGTCCTAGTTCTATAATACCAAACTGTGTTTTAACCGCGCGGCGTGCCTCAGTTGCGTTATCAATTTTTTTTTTATTGTAAATGTATAAAAATAAATGTCTAGGCTCTGGTTGTTCGTTATCTGGCCAAATTTATCTAAAAACGACTATAATGTGTTTTGTTATTGTTTCCAAAATCGCTTTATTCACTACAAATCGTATACGTCATGATCTACAATAATTTTGGGTTCCGATGTTTTGCCGCGGATCCCTTTACTAAATCTCGCGACAACCCCCCTGGGGGCCGCCACGCACAGTTTGAACACCTCTTCTATGAGTTATAAGTTATWGCCAAGAATACTTTTCAAGTAGCTATTAATCGTATTATTATTATTATTATTATTATTATTAAATAGGCGCTACTAGTCATTTAATTACAAATCAAACATTGTCATATTAATAATGTTGTCGCGGAGGTAGACTTTGTGGTGACTATTCAATAGAGAATCTGAGAAATTTTTATTTTWATTTRTAGAATAAAATTCGTGTTCACATTAATATACAGGAGTAGGGTACAACAATGTCTCTTGTCGAGTTGATTTTAAATTAATACATTATATTTATATACTATGAATATTATGATGCACARCTATACAAAGTCTAAGTACCACTCATTTTTTATGTARGTATCTTTTTCGTATTTATTTWTTTTTACTTTATACGGCATTGCGTATATTGTAGCCTGTAGGTTACATATAGTATAACGTAAGACTAGCTAAGTTTCATAATATCTATCACTCTAATCATATGATTACATAGGTGGTAATTGATTAATATAGTAATATTATACCACATTATCATTTATTTGCGAACTGAGAATTTTAATGTTGTAGTTGCAATATATATGAAATAAATGCGCTAAATAGTATACATATTACGTTACTATGCAACAAAAAATATGAAAAAATTATTTCGTTTTGATATAGTAATATTTAAACCGGACACGGCATGATTGTAATAATGTAACATCGTGTATTGAATACTCGAAGTTTTCTCACGTTTTTCTTTCTTCCCAAAACATTCCTGAGTCGTGAAATAAAAATTCTTTTCGATTTCCCGAAAACTGTTTTCGTGCGGCGCAAGCGTAACATAATACGTCGTGAGGCTATTAAACTGTCAGCCCTATCGTGGACGGTGAACGATTAAAATCGTGTATCGCGCAAATGATCGTTGAGGGGAGGCCCGGGGGGAACTGCGTACAGATCTGTCGCGGAGAGAGCATCGTCGTAAAAGATGCGAGCGGGTAATCCGATACGCAGGCGCGCACGCGGGTCGGAGTGGATTTTTTTTTATATTTATATTTACTGCATACTATGCACCTATGTATAATATGCTTTAGACCGCTTTCGGTGAATCCCGTAAATTATTATTCGAGGATAAAATATGATAACATCTTTTTAACTCGATAACCACCGCTGCAGTTAGTCACACACACTCACTCACAGCATATTATATATTACGCGAGCACGACCAAGGAGTAGGTGGCCCGTACGCACACAKACACACACACACACACACGGCGCATGTACCACCCCAATGTTGTTATATACCACTCATGAGATGCGGTAACAATACGATACCGAGTCGTCGTTACAAAGCGGTCACCACAGTGTATATAAAAGATTGGACAACAACCGTAGACCACGCGAACTGTGTAAAAAAATAATATATAAAAATTGTTATATAATAAATATTATATCACTATGACATGACGGTGTTTTTGATGTTGAAACACTACCCCTCTCATCAGCCATCATATTTATGCAAAAAATATACTAGTATAATAAGAATTCAAAATGCATTGGTCACATTGTGGTTCTTTTTCGTTTTTGATATCTGCCTACTATTAGTATGAAGATTCATAGTCATAAATCATGATTATACTACGAAGAAGTGCGTGTGAAGCCCCTAGTATGTTATGACTGTAATTAAATAAAAATTAAAACACACCACTAAAAAAAGAAAGTCAGTCTGGCCACGCATCTTTTATATATACGACGTACAATTAATAATATCAATAAATCCCAATAAACAGGTCCCGAAATTAATATGTTTTTCGAAACAATGACACTTCAGCGTCTGAGTATTTATATAATATTATAATAATTTATTATCCACAAAATGTGTTGAGCACGAGGTAAAACGTATATTATTATTGTATATAATAGTGTCAACCATAACGACCGGTACAATGMCGACGGGATTTTGGATCCGATCCGAATAAATCACGGCAGGTTATAGGATTGTCAAGCAACGTCTTTAATTAATGCAAAATAATAATGTAATTGTGTAAATAATATGTATATTTAGGTGGATTACGATAGCGCACATTTTATTCTATAATCACTTTTAACCTAACTTTAACTTTAACTGTACATGCATAAACCACCATGCGCGATTGTGCACAATATTTTTTAAACATAGTTTGCCTAAATCATTATAGATAGTGAAAGAAATTCACTTGTAGTTCAGAATATRTCCGGTACCTGTTTGTGTATTATATTAATATAACATTCTGATAATAAATGATACAAAAATGAATAATACTACAATTGAACACACAATATGGTATYGTAAACAGTTTAATACTTCAATGTGCCTATATTATAACAAAAGGTACTATTATTAAATATTATACTATACAAGTAGTAGGTATTAATGATACTATATGACTGTATTATAGACTATATTATTAGCTTAGTTATTATTATAGATATAACTGGAAAATAATTGTGGTTTTCTTTAAAACCARCAAAAATCTAAAATATTTGTTGTGCGCGGTCGTGTTGTTTTCTTAAATATAAAATGGGTAAAAATGCGAAATCACGATGTGTTTGTTGCAGGTAAAAAGGTAATAAGCGCGTAATCGTGTTACGCCCATATTAAATATGGTATTATATATATATATAATATACCTCTTGGCGGTATAGAACGCATTATTAGAATATGCATATACATTATATATATAAGACGGGATAAATATATATATACACGCTCAATACAATAATAATAATATCATATAGGTACTACATGGAATGTGACGCAAGATTTTTCTGCGCGTCACTCGGGTTAAAGGGTTTCCCCTATTAAACATTAAGCTCTTTAGCTTTTTTAACATTATCATGTATTATAGGTACATTATGAATTATTGTGTAGGTACATTCTACCCGGGCACGGGCAATTATTAATTAAACGCGACGTACGTACAACACAATACCTACACCGATTGATTGATATGACGTGTGTGCGGTATTTGTACTACACGGGTAGAGTCCGATCGCGGGCCTTGGTCGTACAATATTAACAATTTATAATAATAAGACATTAATATTTGGAAATATCTGTGCCGAACAGCTTTCGTTCGCATTATAATGGGTAATACTAATAAACACGATTTGTTACCACCGTTTGCGGTTGCTGTGTTACGATAACACCTTGGTATGATAACAGAACGTTTGAAATAAATCATTATATGGAGAGAAAGCACTTCAGAACCCCGGAACTCGACAGTTGCTCCCCCCAGTACGTTATGGCCGAGCTGATAAATGCCTACAATTAAAAAGATTCGTTAATATCTGTTCTATCCGCACCATATGAGCAACTCTTAAACGTACAATGTATAGTTTGGGCTGTTAAATGGATAGTGTGTTAAAGTAATAATATATTATGCATAATATTATATCGCAGCACTKCCATAACAATAACAATCGCTCTCACTTTAGCAAGTTTYGTATGAGAAATATCGTATGCATTTAAGTACAACTGCAGCAGTACAAACAAGTGTATGTAGACATATTATAACAAAAATTACGAGATATTATTATTACCTGTGATCCCTGAGATGGTCCTGTCTCCTGAAGGCCTTTTTGCAAATGTCACACGAGTACGGCCGCTCGTCCGTATGAGTGCGCTCGTGTATGAGAAGGTTGTACGACTTGGTGAAGTGTCTGTTGCAGAACCGGCAGATGAACTGTTTTTTGGGCCTGGGAATGGGTCCGTTGTTGTTGTCCTGGTGGTGGTGCAGGTGTCGCAAGCTGGCGATGGGTTCGTCGGCGGCAGTAGCCGTGACTGSAGTGTCGTCGTCGACGAGTGTCGTGATGCAGACAGAGGCGGCGGCGGCGGTCAACGAGGCGGACAGCCTGTTGGCTCTGGGAGACAGGCCGGACAGCTCTTTGGAGAACGCTGGGAGACGGCCTCCCCTGCTGGCGGTCACGACGATGGCGGCCGTAGCGGTTGCTTTTGCTGCTGCACTTCCGCTGCCGTCCAAAGGCTTCGACCTGTCGTCATGATGGTGATGGTCGTCGTCGTCGTCGTCGTCGTCGTCGTCGTCGTCATCGTGGTCGTCGAGGTAGTCGTCTCCGGCGCCCAACGAGGACAGATTGCCACTTTTGCCACCGCCGCCACTGTCGTCGTCTTCGTCATCCAACACTTCGTGTTTAACCATTACGCTGCCGACGGCGTGCGCTCGGTCGATGGTCACTGCGGTCACTGCGGGTTGACGGGGCACGGCGGTCAGCCGCTGCAGCGTGATGTATGAATCGAGGGCCTGCATGTTGAGCGCAGCGGCTACCGGCGAGTCGGGTGGCAGGAGTGCGGCCTGTTGTAGGGACGATACGAAAGTGGTGTGCAGCGACAGGGCGACGTTCTGCAACGATCTCTGCAATAATTGTCCCATTGCCATGTCGTCCTTGTTGTTATTGTTATTGTTGTTGTTATTGTTTGAGGACGGAGATTGCAATTGTTGTTGCTGTTGTATTTGTTGCTGTTGATGTAGCTGCTGCTGCTGCTTTTGCTTTTGCTGACGAAGGTGGTGCCCCTGTTGCACCGCCGGCGAAGAGTGCATCGCGCGWGGAGTGGGGGCGCAGGCGGTCCTAACGGGGAGGCACTTGCCAAGTGGGGGTGGCGGGGTAAGGGTGCCCCGAAAACGTTTTTTTGTCGCGAGCAGCGTGAATAATATAATACGCAACCGCCGTTTAAATATTATAATACGAATAATAATAATAATAATAATAATATTGACGAGCGGTCTTACCTCTACGGCGGATGTGCTATATGATATTGACAAAAGCGATTCTTCYGGTGGTCCGGAAATGTTTGTAAAAGTGCATATAGGGCTCGTTGGTGGCTAGCGTCTTTTCCCTTGTGGTTGTCGTAGGGCAGAGATAGTAGTAATAATAACAATAACAATAATAGCAATAATAATAATAATAATCTAACCTACGTACGTGCAATAATAACAACACACACACGCTGCAGTGGTGCAGGCCGTCGTCGGTGACTGCGGGCGACTACTACTACTACTYCTACTGCTCTCTTCCCCACTACGCGCGCGCGCGCGCTACACACACACTCGGGTACGCACGCGGACGCAAACACGCGCGTGCGCGCGCCCGCCGCCCAAGATCGGTTTGGTTCGTGTTTTTCGTCTTCTTTTAATTTTTTCCTTTCTTTTCCTTTTATTCGATAGAGTACTATTACTATTATTTTCGTTGCTCTTCTGCGCGGCCGTCCGTCCGACTGTCTCCCACCCGGCCGCGGCACGGCGGGCGACCGCCTACAACGGACGCGCGCGCCGTTCGCGGGCTGCGGGCAATGCAGCCGACCGACCACCGCGCCGTACCGGTAACGGTGCCGGTGCGTCGTCTCTCCGCGTGCTGACATATTATAATAATTATTATTATCGTCTTTGAATACAATATCCGGACAGAGGTGTTCGGACCACGCGATCCTGTATGGAGTGGTAAACGARTTCACAGCTTAGTACGGAACTGAGCGGTTAAAATTAACAAGTGACGATTTTGAAATGACTTGATTTGAATATGACTGCCTTACCGTCACTTTATTCGTATACCGCGGTTGTGTCGTGTCCAATTGGCCTATGAGGTATGCATACTACGGTTGTGGTCTTGTGGACATAACTACACGGCTGTCACATAATATGGTCGTTGACATAGGTACCTATAGATCATGTATCGTGTCGCGTCTTGGATATTGGACGTTGCTTTTCCGATATCGTGTTACCTGCAAGTTGTAACCGACTATACCAAGAATTAACTACAGTTCAACATTTAGATTACTAGTTGTACTACCATAGTCACCACTTTTACGCAAGATACGACACCGAGGTGGCGACGACGTACTTGTCAAATGCGAATCCYGCTTGATTAGTTGTCATGGTGGTATACGTCCACGATAGTAGAAACTATAAAGTAGGTAGCAAGAAGGCACCTGTCGATTAAAGTGTGTTTTAGAAATCATGGCTTAAATATGGAGGTTTACAACTTGCACGCGTCATATCATTTACAACATTGTATCATGATGAACAAACTACATAATAATTAATATTAAGTACTGTTTTAATTTTCTCTTGTTAGTTGTCAATACATTATCATTCTCAATTGTTGGGCATTATATTTATTTTTCTATAATATATTAACAAATAYTTTATTGACTGTAGTTATATATTATTATTGTTGGTATTTGTGTATCATTTGTATGAACGTGACAATATATACCTATGACTTTTTTAACTGTTAGTAGATTACTATATATAATTCCACAGTTCGTATGTTTTTGTTGGAGGCAACTAGAATCCATCGGTTCGGAGAAAAACGACTTCTTTAAAGAGTGTGGCGCACYCACTTGTTTTTCCACGATTTGATAATTTTCCACCTCAAATACTATACATTATCATCGTGATGTCGATAAAATGAGTGAACGCCCAAGATGTATAATTGAATCATTCRTCGATCACTATTTATGTTCTTTGATTGTAACGAATTTTGAAATATTATTGTAATCAACTTTTGGAAGTTYACAATTCAATGAATATGGCCTAATAAAATGTATAATATTTCATCTTGAGGCTTGAAGAATAGTGGTGTTGCGGACTGTCTGCTGCAGTCATAATACTGTCCACGGGTCATTCCTGCCATGCACAGGCATGACCTGCAAATTTGATCAAACTTACATTGTACATTTTGATGCATAATATGAACCTTTTTTTTTTAAATTTCTAATTTCMTATTAAATTTGTTGTTTATTTTCATCATGTGTATGATTCAGGGTTATATCCCCAAATCTTAACAGAMATTTTTATTTWTTWTTTTTTTGAAGGGGGAAGATTGGCAGTTTCCCCATCACCTAGAAATKCCACTGTTGTKGATGACCTGCGAATGAGGTCTGGACACGCCTATGGTTGCAGTTTTATCGCCTTCGCCAATTGCTGTTATGTGTCCACCGATRGACTATCACTGCTACGCTTTAATCTTCCTTGRACCTCGGCCTATTGATATTACCTATGCCTTAGAAGAATAAGAGGACGCTACACAAAACACAACCATCTCCGTTTTACAAATGCATAACATAGCAAATTTACGTTYAGCAGAGCACGTTTAGTTCCGTTAGTTTAAAAATTATAGTGAATAGACCTGTAATAAAACTCGATGTTAAGAACATTATCAGTGTTTGTATGTGGGTTTTTTACGATAATTCAATTTTGTAGCAAGTCATGCGTATATAAAAAGCGTAAATTAAAAACGCTCATAACTCACTCGAAAACTAAGTTATCATAAAAAACCCACATACAATCACWTCATATAATTTTCTTACCACATCAAATTTCATGATAGGTCAATTTATTCTAATTTTTAAACTAATGGAACTAAACGTAATCTGCTAAGCGTACATTTGCTATGTTACTCACTTTTAAGATGGAGACAAAAAATATTGAAAAATGTGTGTAGCGTCCTCTTAATGGTCTGTTATCGCTACATCTCCCGTTGTCTTGTCGGACACTCTTCGRCAAGCGATTTCCCACTGCAATAATGCGGCCAGAGTAACATCGTCCGCGTATACTCGAAGGATAGGTACAACCATCGTTGCAGCCTGAGAAAGACGCCATGCAGACAACCGAAAATGACCGTTTCTATATAATGCCGATCGTTGGCCACGTCGATTTTCGATAGCGGCTCGTCGTCTAATGGCTAATCACTGTACTTAGAAGTCTCTGAGGGACKGTCTCTGATGGGTCTCAAGTTCACCGATTCGGCACAACAGTTAGCCATTTATGAYTGGAAGCGGCATCACAAGGAGTCACGGGGCTGTCGTCGTCGTTCAGGTATTGCCTGAAAAACTACATCATATACATATTATAGCTGCAATGACGCAGATTTAAAAAAAAACACACTTATTGATCGTGTGTCACGAGTAGTTATTTTATTGATTAGTACAACAAAATCCATTCTTTGTTGTATTCGGAAATCGAAATAACCAATATAGTGCAGTCATGTTTTATATTATATTAAACATCAAGATCATCTCGTACTTTCGAGTATTTTGTATTAATCTGTAATGCTGTTTCACCGCGGTATGACTGTATGAGAGATAGAAAACGTTTTATACTATTATATAGTTGCTAATTTGCTATCCCGTGATAATGACTGTATTATATAAAAAATCGATATRTTTTAATTTAAAAAYGACAAGTCGGACAAAAGTTGGCATTGGTAAATTCGTTTGATTGAAATCATTTAAAGGGCAACTCTGCCAAGTATAAATCAGTTTGGGTCGATACAGGTCGCTGCAGTTCGCAAATAACAGCCGTCCAGCATAAGAGTATATAATAATATATAAAATTATAAATACAAAATTCGACCCTTCGTCCTACATTGTTTCCATCCATTTCAGAAATTAATAATTGCCGGTTACGCGTACAGAGATACAATACCGATGACGCCCGTTCCCATAGCGTTTATACTCTGTGAGCTATATATATATGRGGAGATCGTCTTCGTCGTGAAACCGACGGTTATTATTAACACATACATCCATACACACATACTTACCTTCCACATAGATGTATAATATATATATATATAAAAACACAAATCACCCCTTGCACACTGCTGCAGTGTGTGTGTGTGTGTGTACAGACGAATGCGCCACAGCAGTTTATATAATATGATATTATTGACAGGTGTATTCTTCTCATACCGTGGTCGGTATAAGCCCTCCGGGGCCTTGGAGGTGTACTGAATATTATTATATATGGGTATATTATGTATAATATGTGTTCGATTAATTTTGGCATATCACGCTATATTATACGCTCGTAGACAGTATAATATATAGGTATAGTTTACCCGCCGTGATGTGGCCGTGTGCACGTGTATCTACACGTAAACGGCGGTAACCATCGAGAGTACTTAACCGCATTTTATAGGTATGAGATAATACGCGCGTGTGATGTACCCGCGAATCATTATTATTGTGGTCAACTCACCCGTGTTATTATTATATTGTACTGAAACGAACGTTTAGTCGGATCAAATAGTGATTATTGCCTATATTATATCATACCGAGTAATTCACCGAAGCGTACATATCGCAATTGTTTCCTTTAATACCTATAGCTAATACATTTATTCAAATTATGACCATAGGAATTTTGAAATATCATACTTAAAGAACATATTTTAAAATTGACTGAATCTCTTGTACCAACTACCAGGTTTATATTATGTAACTACGGCTTCACTTACTCGTAAGGAGTGTSCTTTAGAGAAACAAATTTCGGTTTTTCAAATGAGAAGCACCGTTTATTTTACTGTAAATAATTTAGTTGATAATTTTTTTTAAAATGTTTATGTATCTAATTTAAAATAAAAAAAATTCTTAGYTATTAAAATATTTAAACTTAGGATAATAGACCTTAAAAATGGTTTCACAAAAATATAAAAAATATGTAATATTATTGAACCTAATATACCTAATATATAGTAATATGTATATATTAATTTTTACACTTTAAATTTTTTTTAAGAATTCTCAAAAATTTTGATAGTATACCTATAATAAATAGGTATTAATTATTAAAATGTTCGAATCACTTTAGCCATCTTACCCATGAACCTTATTTTTATTACCGAATAATTTTTATTATTATCATCCTAATTCCTAAGAAGGTGCATAAAGTTGAATAACTCAAAAACTATTYATTTAAATTTTTATTTTGATAATTTAAAATTCATAGAAAAATTATCCATTGAATGATTAGTAGCATAAAATTGGGTTCTTTTTTGAAAAACCAGAATGTTGTGTTCCTTCAGGGCAAGAAGTCCAAAAGTTCTCAAGAGTTATAAAACACGGTCTTTAAGACTTAAGATATTGTTAAAAATTGCAAAAATAAGATTTTGACTAACTACTGCATTATTGAAAAGAAAAGGGTGAGTATGTTTGGTGTATCACCCTRTATATGAATCAAAACAAAAAGAGTTATTGGAGACGAACAGTAATAATTACACGGTAAACATATTTTATACAGACGTAATTATTTATTAAATTTACCGTTATTAAACGGAAATATATTCTCGAGACATGCGCATTATATTATTATTATAAAAAGTAGGTACTTACTATATATTATATAATAGTTTCTAGGTACTCATACGGACGCATATGTCTATATATTA